TCTGCTTTCTCTTTTTTTCTGCTACCCCCTAGAGACCGAAGAAGGTGGACAAAGTCTGATGGAGCTGGCTTCTCAGGAGGCCTGATTGCCCCCCTCCCCTTTCCACAGTACAGCTGTCATGATGATAATTCCCTCCCTCTCTTCTGAAGGATCTTTTGATCTTCTCCCCAACCAGTCTGGATGCTTTCATTGGCTTACTTCTCCTTTATGGGTCCTACAAGTTGGACCTCAGTAAAAGTAAAATGGTCCAAAGAGAAGTTCAGTTAATCTGTTTGGCATTCTAAAAAAAAACAGATCCCAGACATTGAAGGTTTGGCATCCTCTCACAGGAAAAGCAATTTTCCTGTGGAGTTCAGACATAAAGAAGTGAAAGTTCAAGTTTTCATCTTCACACCAATCTTTTTCATAGTATTAACAGGAAGTTACTCTTCAGCTTAAAAGAGCTCTTAGATACTTATAAAGTCAGTTATCATATCCTTCCACATAGAAATAAATTATGAAGGGGGATAAAGAAGAATGTATATTGAGAGGCACTTAGTTACAAAAGAGAAAATGGTCTTTCTGGCTAAGAGAGAGAAAGGTTTTCTGCAGCTGCTTTTCCTCTTGCCCACCTGTTCTTCCCAGGAAGCTGCATCTCCATGATCCTCTTCTACCTGGCTAAGGAGGCTGTCTTGTCTGTTTCTTTCTGCAGCATCCAGTGGAGCTGCTTATTCTTTATCATTTGAAAATGACACTTGTGGTTTTCTGTACATTTGTTCAATTTTTAAAGATGCTGAAGCCCTGCTTCCTTTCTATAGGCCTACTTTAAACTTGGACCACACTGGCTTTTGTCCCTTTAATCTGATTTGTACAGAGCCTTTCTACTGCATCATTTACCTTTTTCTTTTTCTTCAGATACATCTGAAAGGACACAATGTCCCACACTCCCCGCTGCAAACTAGTTGACTATTTTGAAGAACTGAGTGAAGACGAATTCAAGAAATTTAAGATGCACCTCGAGGACTACCCGCTGGAGCAGGGCTACAAGCCCATCCGTCGCTCCAAGACTGAGAAAGCTGCCTACATTGAAATAGCCCGATACATGACTGAGATGTATGAGGATGCCAAGGCCCTGAAGATGACCGTCAACATTCTGGACCGAATAAATAAGAAGGATCTGGCTGCAAGAATCCGAAAGGAGATGCCGGAATGTATGTAGAAAGAGCCCTGCTGTGTACTGCTAACTGTGTGGAAAACTGCTCAGCAATACAGCCCGACTTGCTGTTCTTCAACTGTGTTGACTGGGAATGATGGGAACTGTAATGCAATACACTTGAAGGGCACCTAGTTGGGAGAAGCTGTTTTAACCCCATATTAGTTCTTGGTGGGAAAGAACCTGATCCTGATCACATCAATTTAATGTTGTAACTCTTGTGAAAGCTACTTTTCTCATCCACGTGACTGTGACAGAAGGACAAAAGGGACAGCTAATTGGCTCACTCACTCATTCATTCATTTTGTTTGTTGGTTTTAATAAGAATTGACTTTTTATTTCTAACAGATTTCCTTCAGTCTCCAGAATCAGACAATGAGACGTTTTCTGGATCTCAAAAGAAAGGTTAGTTGTCCATAGACGCATTAAGTGGCTTCCAAATACAAGACTTCAGTCAAGAAGAAGAAGGCTGATCCAAATCTCCTACCAGTTCTGTGGGTGAATCAAAAGCCCAGGATGTCAAAATCCTGGTGATTCTGCAGATGCAAAAGATTTTTTGTTCTAACTCTTTTCTAAATGAAGTGGCTGGGAAAAAAGGGGGACTGTGGAAACTAGGGGTGGATTTCTGCCTGAAGGAATTCCAAGCTTTAGTGGTCTTTTAACACATAAACTAGCCCTGATGTCCCAGTAAGAGCCATAGCTCCCATGACGTACCTCTAAATGACTCCCCCAGATGCCAAATTAAGGTGAAATCTCTCAAGATCCACAAATATCACAACCGTCCAGTATTTTTGCATAACATTTCATGAGGTCTCCAGGTGAGATTTCCAATATTTTTGTCTTGCTTTAATTAGGTGAGTGTACCACCACACAGATTCATCCATTGGCAGCTCTTGCCTAAAAAGATTGCTGATCCATGATCAAAAATAATTGTTCTAAGTATTTTTTTTTCATCTTGTGTCTTCATATCTTCAGCTTCCTGATAATGCTGTAACCTTCCTCCTTAAAAGACAGGAACCATTTTCTGTAATCCAATATTTTAGAAGGAATGCCCCAAACCTACAGAATTGTTTATAAGTAAATCACACTTGGTTCCTGGTGACAGCATCTATACAGTTTTCTTGGTGGCATTATGGAATAGGTTTGCCATTGCCTCTTCCAATCTAGACTATGTCATCGGCACTCCCATTTGGCTCCCCATCCAAGTGGTAATAAAAATTGTACATTGTTTAGAGGCCATTAAACACTTCAGCAACTCTCACAATGTTACATTTGTCTTTAACCTAAATTAACCCTTTCCACTAAACCTGCAAAACATCAGTGGAGTCACCATCACTTCAACCTATACTCTGTCTCTTCTCTTTAGTGGAGGTGATGCTGGATCCCAAGACAGCTTATCCCACCCTCATCCTTTCAGAAGATCGGAAAAGTGTATATATGGGCGAGCGAGCCCAGGATCTTCCTGACAATCCTGAACGCTTTAATTTTGTCCCTTGTGTTCTGGGAGCAGAAGGCATTGATTCTGGGACTTCAGAGTGGGTGGTCGAAGTGGGCAAGGCCAAACAGTGGGCCATTGGTGCTGTCCGCGAATCAGTAGAAAGAAAAGGATACTTATATATGACAGCTACCCAAGGATTTTGGTTATTGCAGCTGATGAATGGAGAATATAAGGTTTCCACCACACCTATGACCATTCTTCCACTGTGGAAGTCAGTACGACGGATCCTGGTTCGCCTAGAATTCAGTTTAGGCAATCTAGCCTTTTATGATGTGGACTCTAAGGAAATTATCTTTACTTTCAGCTATCAATTTTCTGAGAAAATGTTCCCCTTCTTCCTGATCTGGGACAAAAAAAATCCCTTGAAAATCAGTCCAAGTGACTCCAGAGGGTAATTTGGGGAAGAACAAGGAGAAACAGGGTTGTGAAATGGCCCAACTTGAACCATGTTCTGTTCAAACTTTGAAGTGATTGCCGTTAGATTCAGTGAATCTTACTTCTGATTAAACACAGTAGAATTACATTGTTAATTTCTGATTTCTGCTCCCTTTGTTCTCTTCATGGGGACATTTTAAGCCCCTGAGTCTATGTATGAAAAAAGCTTGAGAAATAAAGCTTGCAAAACATTTATCCATTATTTATAAAGATTCCAAAAACAATAATATATGTTCACTGTGATTTTTTAAAAAAGGACTTTGAGAGTGAGGAATGGGATCAAACAATCCTGGCCTGCAGACATGATATGGGTCAACATTATGGGATGGAACAAACCTAGGGCTGCTGGGCTGTTCTGGTGGATCTGCAAAAAAAAATTCTTTAATGAAGAACATTTCTTGAGAGGATGGGTCCAAGTACAGTAACTCCCAAAGTGGGGAAAAAAAGATTTGTGCATCTTCAAATGGTGTGTGTAATGGTATTTGTAGACTGACCCATAGAATGCAGAGTTGGATTTCTGCACTCTGCTGAAGCAACAGCTGTACCTTTGACTTAAGAGAGGTTTCTTACAATCATTTGCAAGCAATTTTGAATTACTGTACGCTATAGATGGTGTACTTATTCACCTCTACAAAATCACTGCAAGTGATGCTGGAATGCATATCCCAGACTCAATATTGGTTAGCTGGTACTCTGAAGTATGTGAAGATTGGGAACACCAAAGCAGTTCAACTTTGTGGCAGCTGAAGAGCTTGGTAGGAATGGAACTGATGTCAAAATGAAAAATAGGACTGCTTGCCAAATGGATTTCTAGCCAGGCATTTGTTCTTTTCCAAGTGTCCTGTTACGCCTATAAAACCTTTCTAGCAAGGAACTTGCAACTCTAAAAGGATTTCATTCATGCAACTTATTCAATGCACTTAATTCATGAATGCTGCTCCTCCAAGCTAGCCTCTTGGTCTAGCTCAGTGGTTCGCCAACATTTTGGTCTCAGGAGCACTTTACATTCTTAAAAATGATTGAGGGTTCCAAAGAGTGTTTGTTTATGTGGGTTATATCTATAAATATGTACTGTATTAGAAATTAAAACTCAGAAATGCTAAAATATTTGTTTTCATGGATCCCCTAGAAGGGTTTCTGGGACCCCCAGGGGTCCCCAGACACACTTTGAGAACCACTGATCTAGCTAATCATCCTGGTCTAAATACAAGTGTGGGGAAAGAACCACAGAAATAGTTGCCTCTCCCACCCGTAGTAGTGTGTATTCTAAACACTAAGTCTCATGCTGTTTGATAAGAATCTATTTGTGCCAGTTTGAGTCATGTTCAAGTAATGCATCCAAACTATGGTTGCCTTTCCACTGCCAGGAGACAACCAGTGCATTTTAGACATCCTCCAGGGACAGAGTGAATGGCAACCGAAGTGCCCTCTGCGTAGGCTTCATTCATCAGCTGGAGCACAAGGTCACTGGGAGGTTGCGCCACCACCTCCCACAAAGGATATTGTGCTGCCAGCCTGATCTTAGAGACCAAACACTAACACCTCTTTTCACTCCACCCTTACAAGAGCCAATTGAATATCAGGAATAGCTGGATTGAGTCTGCATGTAATGTGCACACTCAGTGTGGACATAACCTGGACTCTTTTCAGAGAACAGCCGCATACAGATTTTCAGAACTGTGACTTTTAAAAATCTTGGGAAATCCTCTGTCAGGTAGTTTATGCATGTCAGACAGCTGGAGAGGGAAGGCATCAGACGGGTAACCCCAAATGGGACTGGATAGGTTGGTAAACAAAAATAATGTGTTTTACTGAAAAGTCAACAAGCAATAAGGTACAGGTATGGAACCAGGTGTACAGCACCATTTCAGATGGGAGACATGACAAAAGTGAGGTGTGCGGATTTAGAAAAAAGAGCAGAAGTTTCCATGAACATGCACCAAGCTTTTCAGAGCAAGAATTCATTCAAAGTCTGCAGAGTATCACCATTATTCTACAGGTCACTTTTTTACTTTCCTTGATTATGGGTAAAACATAAACAAAAATAAAAATCAGGTTATATTTTGGGGGAAAGGGGTTCTGAAAAGCTTATTGGAGAGGAAACACATGAGAACCACAGCTCCCTTCTCAGCTGTTTTTACTGGGGTTCGTTCCGCTACTCAGTCAAGACCAGGGCCCCCAAAGAATTTATTTGTAAAGACTGCAGAGGCTGGCCGGTCACAAAAAGGACCCATTAGCAACACTCCCAGGGTGGAAGACACCCTCCCGCCGCCAGATGCAGGCTATATCTACTTTACAGGAACAAAGAGACTCAAATTACAAACAGATTAATGGTTACAAGCTCTGTGTCAAGCAACTCCATACCCAGATACAGATGAACTCGTGGTAAGATAAGCATAATATAATAAGATAAGTAAGATAAGTACGATAATATTAGGAAAAGCATGGACTGAGCAGTTTCATATCTCTACTGCGCTATGTGTTAGACGATACCAAGTGCACAGCCCTCTCTATTTCTCACAAGCTTCAATGAAATGAAAGGACAAAAAGGGTTTTGGAAGATGGAAATCATTTTTTACAGTTCTAATGTCTTCGGCGGCGGTTTTCCGGCATACGCAGGCAGCGGTCTTACACATCCAAAGCTCGGTAGCTTTACCTGTTTATCTCTGCAGACCAAGCTACTAGAGAGGCTGGTTCGGGGATGATGGGAATTGGCTTCATTGGCGACCTAACTTTCACTTTCCCTCTCCGCGCTGGGCAGCCGCAGACGGCGGCGCCCGAGCGGCGACTTCCTCCCGGAGTCCCCTTTCCTTTGCTCCGAATTCTCCAGGCCGGCGGCGGGCGGAGGAGAGCGG